GGGGGCGGCCTCACCAGGGCCGGCACAGGGACCCGATCCCTGCCCCGCTCCCGCTGCCCACCCCACTCCTGACCCAAGCCAGGATGCCACTGGCCTACGCTTCAGTTTGTGCCCGTCAGCCCTTGTCCTGTCACCGGGTACCACTGAAAGGAGCCTGGCCCCGTCCTCCTGACACCCACCCTGCAGATGTTCACAGCTCCTCTCGGATTCGTGCGTAAAGCAGCAAGGTGGATCCAGGAGCGCCGGGGTTTGGGGTTCAGTTACGCAGCCGTGCAGACGGCAGCGTCTGTTCTGTACGTTGCCGCGTGCCAGAGGTGTAAACCAACCACACAACAACGAAAGAAACGAGGCGAGCCCATTGCCCTCGTGTGCTGAGAGGGCAGAAGCGCTCGGTTACTTCACGGGCCACGAAAGGTCAAATCTCAAAGCAGCACCCGCGCATCTCCTTCCATGGATCCCCTTGTGAGCCGAGGGGAAGAAACCGGCTGCTAGGGCTGCTCTGGACAGAACGTCGCCCGCTCCCTTCACGATTCATCCGCTTCCCTCGTTTGTGTGGTTTGTGATATCCTCCTGGGGAAGCTGAGGAAGTGTGGGCTGGATGAGTGGTCGGTGAAGTGGATAGAGAACTGGCTGAACGGCAGAACTCAGAGGGTTGTCATCAGCAGCGCTGAGTCTGGTTGGAGGCTGGTGACAAGTGGTGTCCCTCAGGGGTCAGTACTGGGCCCAGTCTTGTTTAACTTCTTCATCAACGACCTGGATGAAGAGTTAGAATGTACCCTCAGCAAGTTTGCTGACGACACCAAACTGGGAGGTGTGGTAGATACACCAGAAGGCTGTGCTGCCATTCAGCGTGACCTGGATAGGCTGGAAAGCTGGGCAGAGAGGAACCTGATGAGGTTCAACAAGGGCAAGTGCAGGGTCCTGCACCTGGGGAGGAACAACCTCATGCACCAGTACAGGCTTGGGGTGGACCTGCTGGAGAGCAGAGAGGGACCTGGGTGTCCTGGTGGACGACAGGTTAACCATGAGCCAGCAGTGTGCCCTGGCTGCCAAGAAAGCCAATGGGATCCTGGGGTGCATCAAGAAGAGTGTGGCCAGCAGGACGAGGGAGGTTCTCCTTCCCCTCTACACTACCCTGGTGAGGCCTCATCTGGAGTACTGTGTCCAGTTCTGGGCTCCCCAGTTCAAGAAGGATGAAGAGCTACTGGAGAGAGTCCAGCGGAGGGCTACAAGGATGGTGAGGGGACTGGAGCATCTCCACTACGAGGAGAGGTTGAGGGAACTGGGCTTGTTCAGCCTGAAGAAGAGAAGGCTGCGAGGGGACCTTATAAATGCCTACAAATATCTGAAGGGTGGGTGTCAGGAGGATGGGGCCAAGCTCTTTTCAGTGGTGCCCAGTGACAGGACAAGGGGCAATGGGCACAAACTGAGGCACAGGAAGTTCCGTCTGAACATGAGGAAGAACTTCTTCCCTCTGAGGGTGACGGAGCACTGGAACAGGCTGCCCAGGGAGGTTGTGGAGTCTCCTTCTCTGGGATGACCCACAGAGGTCCCTTCCCACAGAGGTCCCTTCCAACCCCTACTATTCTGTGATTCTGTGTGATTCTGTGTGGCTGTTTCGTTCGCTGAGGGAAAGGGAAACAGCAGGAAGAGACCCAGCGTGACACGCGACTGTGAAACGAGGAGTGACCTGGAGGGTGACGGGACCCGTGCAAGCTGCGCTCCTCCGAAGCGCGTGCAGGGGAAGGGAGAGACGAGGCAGCCGTCCCGACCTCGCGCCAGTCCTCGCGGATGCCTGGTCGTCTCAGAAAGCAGCTGCCCTGGGTGCAGAGCTTCCCGGTTTCCCTGCGGGAGCCCCTTTCTAGCGCTGGTTCTGCAAGCAGCTACTTACAACAGTGGAATGAATCATTTCGAAAATGATGATGTGTCAAATTCCAGGTAAACTGGCTTTTTTCCTAATGCTTCCAGGGGAAACAGCCTACAAGCTGTCAGGAAGATTAGATCATCTGTGGTGAAAGAACTGCCTTTCTCCATGACCGCTTTCTTCACCCGGTTTGCATCATCTCCTCTCATACTAAGTGGCCAGGAAGAATTGTCGGCAGAGATGGGAACTACAAAATATGATTTCTGTGCCTGCTGTTTTCTGAGTGACAGCACAGCTGCTTCCCACACAGCATTTTACAGTCCTACTACGGAATTTTAAATAATTCCAGAGAAAAAAAAAATAATCACCTTTGCTCTAATACTCCATGGGTCATTCTGACACGATTTTTCTGGCTCTTCTTGTTTTTTGAGAAAATTAAAACCTGGTTATGAACAGAATTTGAGAGTTCAGCAGTTCGGATGCCTCCTGCCCGTCCTCCGGCGCTGCGCAAGAGGCCGTTTGCAGACGTACGGCGCGTAGCTGCTCCTCTGGAGGAGAGGTGCTGGCCCGGGTTTTAGCTGATGTTGGAAGCTTCATGGTGCATTTTGAATTAATGCAGGCCGGCTAAGAGGAGACAGAGGCATGAAGTCAACTGTTTACCAGCTTATTATGGAGTCCCTTATTCAACCCAGAAATACAATGAGTGCATTCCTAGGGAAGCTGAGGAAGTGTGGGCTGGATGAGTGGTCGGTGAAGTGGATTGAGAACTGGCTGAACGGCAGAACTCAGAGGGTTGTCATCAGCGGCGCTGAGTCT